CCTTGCTGAGAATAATGCTGACCTGGATGGAGAGTGCTATAAACTTGAAAATGCCATAGAAATCATGTTTGCCAATTTATGTCCATGCAACTTTAGAATGACAACTAGCGAAGGCAGTGTCATTCATGACTTGTCATCTGTACATTACCCTTGGTGACATCATTTTACATCATCATCTGTACATTCACTGTGGAGACATTGTTTTATATTGTTACTGTACATTCACCATGGTGACATTGTTTTACATTGTCATCTGTACATTCACTGTGGAGACATTGTTTTACATTGTTACTGTACGTTCACCATAGTGACATTGTTTTACATTTTCATCTGGACATTCACTATGGTGACATCATTTTACATTTTCATCTGTACCTTACCCTTGGTGACATTGTTTTACATTGTCATCTGTACATTCACTATGGTGACATTGTTTTACATTGTCATCTGTACATTACCCTTGGTGACATCATTTTACATCATCATCTGTACATTCACTGTGGAGACATTGTTTTACATTGTTACTGTACGTTCACCGTGGTGACATTGTTTTACATTGTCATCTGTACATTCACTGTGGTGACATTGTTTTACATTTTCATCTGGACATTCACTATGGTGACATCATTTTACATTTTCATCTGTACCTTACCCTTGGTGACATTGTTTTACATTGTCATCTGTACATTCACTATGGTGACATTGTTTTACATTGTTACTGTACGTTCACCATAGTGACATTGTTTTACATTGTTACTGTACATTCACCATGGTGATATTGTTTTACTTTGTTACTGTAAATTTACCATAGTGACATTGTTAGTCCCCGTTCGGACGCAGTCCGAAAACGGCGACTTATGTTTTGACCTCCGTGTGTGTGTGCGTGCGTGCGTGCTTGCGTGTGTCCGGACCTGTATCTTAGAAATGCCTGGACCAATCACAATCAAACTTCACACATGCATCATACATGATATTATACATATGCACGTCAATTTGTTTACAGATGGATTTTGTTCAAACATGGTATATACATTATACATTATAGGACCTTGATGCACATTATTTTGTTTTACGATCTGATTCAAGATGGCCGAATGGTGGCCATTTTTGTGCTAAAAATAATCAAAATCAAGTATTTCTCGGCTGTTTACAGATGGATTTTGTTCAAACTTGGTATATACAAGAGACATTATGGGACCTTGATGCAAATAATTTTGTTTTTTAGATAAGATTTAAAATGGCTGACTGGCGGCCATTTTGTTTTAATGAATGGGCTTCTAGACCCATAACTCCGACTTGTTTTGACTGATAATATTTTCAAATTTTAAATATTCATTATACATCATGTCATAGATAAACAGATACATTGGTTTGACTATCCTATTAAAAATCATCAAATATCAAGCATTTATGGGTGGATTTCATTCAAACTTGGTACGTACATTAGACATTACAGGTTCCTGATGCTCGTCATTTTATTTTTCAGATTGGATTCAAAATGGCTGACTGGCGGCCATTTTGTTTTAATGATTTGGCTTTTAGAGCCATATCGCTTAAATGCTTTGGCTTCTTGAGCCATATCGCTTAAATGCTTTGACTTATTATATTTAAATTTTATATATTCATTATACATCATGTTATATATATACATGTATTCAAAATGGCTGATTTTGAATGCTGTTCCAGAGCAATATCTCTCAATATGGACAAGCACTTGTTTGACGATCAGATACAAATGTCAATCATTTTAATGTTAAAAAATCATATTCCTGACATGGTTATATTCCAGCTATATTACTATAAACAAAACTATATACAGACCCGCCAGAAAGTATTTACGCACCTGTCATTTGATCGTTTTCGTAACTAAAAATAACAATTCCGGGTAACATGATGTGTTGACTTTAAAATATACTAAATTTAAGAAGAACTAGTGCATTTTAGTCAAAATAAAATGGTTGATTTGTGTTTAGTTTTTTTGTATGTAGACGTTTTTTCAGTGAGCGAAAATCGCCATGGTTAACTCTATGGGAGCGCGCTCATTTGCATATCATTTGCATCTCATTAAAACTTCGCGCCATAAAACATGTGCGATAGTCGTGTCCTTTCTCATGCAAATTTGAACCAATTGGGAAGCTGAAATTATTTCAACACGCGCTTCTGGGCGGGAATACCTGTCAGTTGTAGTTCATGAATATTCCTATCGAGGTCATAGTGTCAGATACGTAATTTTTATTTACAAACATTGAGCCATGCCGAAAGTTAGGGAATTGTCAGAATTTACTAAAGGGAACATTGAAGCACTGTATACAGAAGGAGTGTCTAATAGGGAAATTGCAAGAAGACTGGGAATTTCTGAAAGCTCCATACGTTTCAACCTGCGAAAACTTCGTCTGCGGG